TATATGTCAGCTTCTACATTTGTCCAAAAAATTACTCTTGTGTTTATGCTGAGATCAGTAGGTAGAGTATTTGTATAATAAGTTTGTGGTTGAATTCCTTTCTTTCCTTTTTTTTTTTTAACATGGGAATGTAATAGGGAAAATTATTCTAAATGATATATTTATTCATCATTATATTAGAAAATGTACTCTGATGCTGTTTTAATTTGATTCAATGAATGAAACCTTAATAGAAAACTTGCCCTTAATTTTGTGAATGGAAAATTTTGCTAATTTGTTCTTATTAGATCAAGTAGTATGACAATAAGTGCTATTCTGGCTAAAAATGTAAAATCAGCCGAAGCCGGTTTGGCTCAGTGGATAGAGCGTCGGCCTGGGGACTGAAGGGTCCCAGGTTCGATTCCGGTCAAGGGCATGTACCTGGGTTGCGGGCACATCCCCAGTGGGAGATGTGCAGGAGGCGGCTGATTGATGTTTCTCTCTCATCGATGTTTCTAACTCTCTATCTCTCTCCCTTCCTCTCTGTAAAAAATCAATAAAATATATTTAAAAAAAAAATGTAAAATCAACAAAATGTTGACAAATTGACCTGCAGGGAACATTGCTTTATCAGCAAGAGAGTTAGATTTTTGCAGTGAAGCCCAGTTATTCTAGATCAGTACCATTATACAGTGTTTTCAGCAAGTGGTCTAGTATAGTCTGTGATTACATTAGTCAGCATAATAAGTTTCTGTGCTCTTTAAAATTGAAATTTGGGAGAAGGTTAAAGAACAACAGAGAGAAGGTTAAAATGCAAGTCCATCTTAAATATTGTATAATTATAGCATTTCTAAATAAGAGAGTAAGTGAATTTCTAAAAGTCAGAGTGTGTTGGAACCAGTATTGATTTTATGAATCAATTTTTTTCTTAATTAAAGAGATGATTGTAAATTCTGTTTTTTTTGGTACATACTTTATATGAATGATTTTTACTAGTCAGACATAAAAGATACTTGAGTACTTGTTTGCTGCCTGCACTTGATTATTTGTGAGTAGATTTTTTTTTTCTACATTGTATATGATCTTTGGTAGATTAAAAAAATTACATTTTCCATAATTATATTGCTATTATGAATAGGAGCTATGATTATTTTAAATTTATTTAAAAACAATTGCATCCTTGCCCTAACCAGTTTGGCTCAGTGGATAGAGCGTCGGCCTGGGGACTAAAGGGTCCCAGGTTCGATTCCGGTCAAGGGCATGTACCTTGGTTGCGGGCACATTCCCAGTAGGGGGTGTGCAGGAGGCAGTTGATTGATGTTTCTCTCTCATCGATGTTTCCAACTCTCTATTCCTCTCCCTTCCTCTCTATAAAAAAATCAATAAAATATATTTAAAAACAAAAACAAAAAACAATTGCATCCATACTGTCTGTGGTGGTGTGTGTGGGGGGTGGGGGGGGGGCGGGTCTGGATGTAAGATGGTGAAGGGATTAGCCAAAGAACATATATGCATAACCCGCAATGTGGTGGTGGCCAGAAGGAAGGGTGGGAAAATGGGGAAAATGGAGACATCTGTAATAGTGCCAGCAATAAAAATAAAATTTAAAAACAAAACAAAACACCTGTCAGAATGTTTGCATCATTTTAAAAGCCCTTGCAAGATACCCAGAATAATTAAGAGAAGGGTAAACATTTGCCTTCATAGATTCCATATCTTGGTATGTGGTTTCTTTCTTTAGTTAAACTATGATCAATTTCTAGGTCACCACACATTTTAGCATTCATGTTTTAGTATAAAATATAGTTTGAAGTAGAATTTAGAGTTTTGATCTTCAAATTGATTTGTAGTTGTATCTTTGAAGTAATTTAGCCTACTCTTTTGGCCAGGGAGCAGATCCTTTCTATAGAGTTTCTAACAATCTTTGCCTAGTAAATCACTGAGCAGGGACTTTACTTCTTTATGAAGCAACCTTCTTATTAATTATGCAATAATTAAGTTATTTTTTCATTGAACTCAAATCTATCTTGTGCTAGGCACCATAACTTCCTAGTTCTCCTTTTTAAATTATGAAGTATACATACAAATATTGAAAATACTATAATGAACATCACCAAAATTCCATTTACTCTTAATTTTTTCTTTTTTTTTTTAAATATATTTTATTGATTTTTTACAGAGAGGAAGGGAGAGAGATAGAGAGTTAGAAACATCGATGAGAGAGAAACATCGATCAGCTGCCTCCTGCACACCCCCTACTGGGGATGTGCCCACAACCCAGGTACATGCCCTTGACCGGAATCGAACCTGGGACCCCTCAGTCCGCAGGCCGACGCTCTATCCACTGAGCCAAACCGGCTTCGGCAATTTTTTCTTACTTGCTTGTGATTACTATTTTCTGTATTATTGTATTATCAGAGACATACATATCTTGTCTGACTACAATGAATACACATAAAATTTGTGCATTTCTGTTCTTTATTATTCTAGTAATTTTGTTTAGAAAGGAAACGTGGTTAATGTGTTACTGAACACCCATTCAACTTTCTCTTTTATTTTCTGCACTGAAGTGAAGCAAGACTCGCCTTAAAGGACCTCATTTGACCTGAGATCCTCCCAAGTGCCAGAGCTGGGCCACTGTTCTCCTTATTTATTGCTCATGGAAATTTCTAGATCCTTACTCTTACTGCAGGTTTAAAGCCTTGCCCCTTCAAAGCCTGTGTTATTTACAGCCTTCAGTGTTGTCAAATACCAACTGACCTCCTCAAGTCACTCTTGTTTATATGACTTTTTTCTTTTAAAATAAAAAACAACAGCATTGATCATGTGTACACCATGACCACATTTACCTAACCTCGCAAAAATATGGGTATGAAAGTACTAATAAAAATTACTCTTCCTGTGGATAGAATATTCTCCAAATTAATCAAGTGAAATAAAAATAAAAACGAGTCCCATACTCAATAATAGGTATGGCAACAAGATAAAAAAGTTATTGGCATGCAAAAAACAACCCAAAACCAAGACAAAAGCAACAACAAAAATCTTCATTCCTGCTAAAAATGATTATAACCTATAAAGTCAGAGAAGTACAGAGCAAATATTTTCCTGGAAGGGTAATCACAGACATGTTCATTTTATTAAAAGGGAAAGTTGAAAATAGGAAGGTTGTATATCAACTCAGGAACTTATTGAAAATTTCAGACAAACATTGGGAAGTCTTAAAATGACACAGTGATCTGACAGTGTGGTTACAGAAACACGTGTAAAAAACATGGCACTAGCTCTCGCTATGTCTGAACAGGAGGTTATTCAAAAGTGAAGCAAAACAAAAGACCTAGACATGGTGGTACAAATCAATCCTCGATGAACTTGTGGCTGGCTGTACTTATAAAATTGCTTTGTTCTCCAGTAGTAATTGGTTTTGTCATTTGTCCTAGCAGATAAAGTGAAAAATATTTTAAATTTCATTATATACCAGTGCATGACTACTGCAACCACTATCTACAGAAATGATATGCTGTTTGTCACATAGCTTTATTTGCTTTGAGGGAGAAATGACTTCATGAACCTAAGATAAAGTATCAAGAATTATGGCAGAATTCTAGATATCACGTTGTTAGTAGATTCAGAAATATTTGGTGGGGCTGTCCAAAATTCCACTAAGCCTGAATAAGATTGATTGTAAACAAGTGCATATGAATTAGGTTTTTGTTCGAATTCACCAGTTTTCTGGCTTCAAAAAGATTTAGTCATGATTTAGTTGATTATGCCTGTGCATCAATGGAATATCATGATATTTTCCAATTCTGCTAAAGGAATTTCAAATTAAGAAGCTTAAGTACAAATTAATATTTTAGAGAGTAGTTAGTCCTTTCTGTTGGGTTGAGGATTAAATTCATTAAACAGAAAAAAATAGTAAGAAACCAGTTATGATTAGTATAGGTATGGTACAATAGTTCATAATTCATGACCCCCTCACAAGTATTATAATTGGACTTTGAAAAATATATATCCCAAACATTTTATGTAGCTGGGATAAATATTAGGCCCAGAGGCTATATGAACTACTTTGCAAATCTGTTTATTTTACTGAATAAAATTAAAATATTAAATGTATTATGGCATAATTAAGGTTTTTATGTATTGGTTTAATCGTTGGATAGTAAAAGCATTACTTGTCACTGTAAAGAGAAGAAAGGAAGGGGAGGAACTATAAATTAAAAGGGATTTAAAAGATACAGTAACAGTTGTCTATATGGATTTTGTTTAGATCTGGATTGGAACAATGTGTTTAAAAATCACTTATGAGCCGGCTAGTGTGAATCAGTGGTTGAGCATCAACCTATGAACCAGGAGATTACAGTTCGATTCCTGGTCAGGGCACATGCCCAGGTTGTGGGCTCAATCCCCAGTAGGGGGTGTGCAGGAGGCAGCCGATCAGTGATTCTCTCTCATCATTGATGTTTCTATCTCTTTCTCCCTTTCCCTTTCTCTCTGAAATCAATAAAAATATATTTTAAAAATAGTAAAAATGAAAATGAAAACCACTTATGAGACAGAGGATTTTGAGCACAGACTGGTAGCTGATGTTAGAAAGAAATTATTATTCATTTGTTATAGATATTATAATGATATTGGATTATATTTAAAAAGCAGATCTTTGCATACAGAACTATCTAAAGATGAAGTGGTAAAATGTCTGGAATTTGATTCATAATAATCCAGAGTGGTGGGAGAAGGGGTTTTGGGGTAGGTGGAGATATAAATGAAACATGATTTGCCATGAGTTAACAGTGGTGTGTGTTTATTATACTAGTTTTGATTTTGCATTATTTTGAAAATTTAAGAAAAATAAATTCAGAAGCAGTGTAATGCAACACTATTGAAAGAGGATAACTGCAGCACCAGGTGACATTGCTGGATAATACATTCAGAAGTAAGGATGGATATGAGCAACACACAGATGTGCTGTTATAAACGTAACTAATGTATAAATCTTGTATTTTATTTTTCTTCAGAGCTGAAGCCATTTATTTGAATCTTGGATGATTAACACCTAAATGCTTAATTCTCAAAACTGCTCAAGAGTCCCACAGTCAGGATTAGATGATCGAAGTTACCACTAAGAAATTACTGTCTTGAGTCCTACGGTAAGATGATACTACATATTCTAAAGGCTAAATAGTGAGTATGAGGTCTAAAAAGCCCTATTAAATGCTTTATTTGAGCTACTACCTTCTATTATAATTTCTTAATCCTGTAATTGTTATACCTGGAGTTAAAAGTTGTGATAATCAACCAAAGATCCTTGGACACATCAACATGCCAACAAGGCTTTAGGCGCAGCGGTTCTCAACCTGTGGGTCTCGACCCCTTTGGGGGTCGAATGACCCTTTCACAGGGGTCACCTAAGACCATCGGAAAACACATATAGCATATCAGATATTTACATTATGATTCATAACAATAGCAAAATTACAGTTAAGAAGTAGCAACGAAAATAATTTTATGGTTGGGGGTCACCACAACATGAGGAACTGTATTAAAGGGTCGCGGCATTAGGAAGGTTGAGAACCACTGCTTTAGGGCATTTTCTCCTCATAGATTCAGCCTAGTAATGGGTACAGTTTTGTCATGGGAACGCCATGCTTTCTGCTTGCTGTATGGGTCCTCTGGAAGCTGATCCTGCAAAGGAGTTTGGCTTCCAGGGTTTTATTAGGGCTCAGCCTCTATTAAGAGAGGTGGTGTAGAAGCAGGTTGGGCAGAGGACATTGAACTGCAGGGTAGGCTCAGCACAGCCTTGGCCAACCCTATAGGGAATCTTGTAGTTGTGAGAATTTCTTTCCCTTCATGAGTAGTAAGGTTCTTGGGTAGAGAGACGTATTGTCAGTGCCTTCGCATCTTGCACAGGCCATGATAGGAGCTGCTCCGTAAATATTTGTCAAATGAAGGAAATCTGAGAAAAATTTTGTAGTTTCTTCAGTGACACCTAATCCTTGCCCTTCATTTTCCCAGTTGAAAATTCAGTGTAGAGCGGTAGGTTAATAGTGACACAGGTGGTTCTTGTATACCACGAACAGACAAGAAGGTAACTTGCCCTCTACAATCAGCATTTGCTATATACCATTGTGTTTCTGGGCTCTATAGATAAGGAAGGCCTGCAAAGAGCCTGAGAAAAGCCACAAACATAAGTGTTAAAGAACATGAGATCACACCCATAAAGAGGAAAGAAAAAGCGCTAGAAGACACGTTGATAACTTCTAGGCTATTAAGGCATATGAATTACTGTTCTAACCAGTTGTTTCTTCTGTGTGTGGGGATAGGCTGATCAGACGAGTTGTCCTTTCATGTTCAAGGGTTAAGAGAAACTCTGTCTCTTAGAAGCATTTTTAAAAGTCAGTATGTTTTCCTAGTAGGTACATTTCTGCTTTAATTCTATACTCGACTTCCTTGTTTGTTTTTTTAACCTCCTTTTCACTGTAGAATTCCCTGAGGCAGGATTTGCATTAATAAGTCCTCTAACTTTTCTCTGAACCTTAATACTATAGTAATGCTTTACATGTAGAGGACCTTCAATTAATATCTTTTAAATAATTAAATAAAGAATAGTGGACTTTATAATTAATGTAGAAAAATGAGGATTTAATTCAGAGCCAGAAATTTTTTTCATTATAATTTTTCCTGATACATATATATAGATAGTTTTATGTTTCATCTTTTAAAAGATGTAAATCAGTTTCTTCGTGTTGAGAAGAATGAGATTGTGCTTGTGTTTCACTAAGTGAATCAGATTTGTTATCTTATTAAAACACATATCCTCAAAGTTATAATCTGATTACTTAGAGGGAGTTTACGCCTATCTGTTCTCTCTGGTTTTTCATTTCCTTCTTGCTCACTTATCCCCACCAGAGGGCAGGCGAAGGAAGGGAAAAAAGAAGGTATTAATTTCAGTTCACAAAGTCTTACGTAGGCAACGTCCACTGGAGTATTTCGTCATGCTTCTGGAGTACATTAAGCAATCGGATCAGCCACTTCAGCTATTTAAAAATATTTAGTAGAGTGCTCAGTTACTACTTAGGTAAGGTTGATTACTGGGTTTATTTAATTAGATCATTATATTTAAAATCTATATTCTTAGGTCCATATATTGTAAATTATCACCTTTTTTTTTTTGGCAATTCATGCCAATGTCTCCATTGCTACTGTTGATAATTGCAATTGATTGTGATGAGGACTCTTTTTTATTTTTAAAAGTACATTGGAATGTTCATAATACAATACTGCTTTCATGAATCAAGTTCATAATACGTCTTTCATGTCCTATGAAGCTTGATGTTCCTGAGGTCTGTTAGTGAGTTTTAGAATCATAAGAGTAATCATTTTGTTTTTATTTTATTTTTAAATCCTCACCCGAGGATATTTTTCCCATTGATTTTTAGAGAGAGTGGAAGGGAGAGGGAGAGACAGAGAGAAACACGGATGTGAAAGAGACACATCGATTGGTTGCCTCCCACATGTCTCTGACCAAAGCCAGGAGCCTGCAATCGAGGTATGTGCCCTTGACTGGAATAGAACCCGAGACCCTTCAGCCACATACTGACGCTCTATCCACTGAACCAAGGGCATAAGAGTCATCTTTTGACTACTAGTTAGTTCTACACTTCAGCTGTAAGTTTATTTAGAAGGACGACACACCTCAGGCCAAAGTAAATTTGTCTCAACATTATTACAGTGTGAGTTTTCAAAGTCTAAATGTTAAACTAGACGGATGCTAAACCTTTTATGGTCTGAATATTACTGTTAACACCCATCGTAGATGTACAAGGACTTGTACACGTGAAGTGCCGTTTCATGGTCGATAGCTGTTTGGTGTGTTATCAGTGTGAACAGCAGATGTCCTGAAAATCAGCTTCCAAACAGCTGGCACTTGGCCTGCTGGTGTTGAGCACCACCTAACCTCACATGACGTGTCTGCTCTTTGACATACATAGTGGACCTTATCTCCTCATCAAGGAAATTGGTGCAGGCGCCTTTTCTGTGTGCTCCTAGGACTAGTAATGTAGAAGAGCCTTATAATGGACTTTTTAAAAAGAGTTGTGCCTCCCATTCTTTCGGGAGATGTGGTTGTGGAAGCTAGAGGTGGTTTTCAGGAAGGTTCCCCCCAGTTACTGAAGATGAGACGTCTCAGTTTGTTTTCATCAGAGAAGCCTGTAGGTGAGGAAGATGGAATCACTATCTGGCACAGTAATTATGACAAACACCTCCATCAACAACTCGGTAAAGTAAAATGGGAATAAAATGTATTATTTCCAGTCCTTTAAAAAGTATTTTAGGAAAGAAATTATGTTTACAAGTTTGAATTCTAGTGAGCAAAAAAAAATCTGTATTGAAAGTCAAGTTTAAATATTATAAAATGTTTAATACAGTAAATATGTAGTTGGTGTAAAGTTATTTTAGTATCAGAGTTTTGCTGCGAGTTTAGATGGAGAAATATTGATGCTGTAAATCAGTATTTCTGTAAAGAAGTTTACAGTTTGATGATCTTTGGAAAATGTGTTATACTTATTGGAAAAATGTTATTTGTAACCCATAGAATATGTAAATGAAAAATAAGATACTGAGTTTTACCTATCACCGTAGAAACCATGTCCATTTTGTTTTAAAAATATACTTCATTATTTTGTTGTGAAGATAGCAAATATTTGGGGTGAAACATAAAAAGTCTCATCTTTGAATATAATCATGATTATTTTGAGTCACAGTACCTTTATTTAATATAATCCTGCAAAGTTAAATTTAATGCCTTTTAAAGTTTGAGCAAATGATACTCAGTCTGTGTTAGAAGAAAAATCAGTTTTGCATATAGTACTGGTAAATAGCAAATATTAAAAGAAAGGAAATCCTTTAGGAAGAAAATGGAAAAATGCTGTAAGTTTTTAAATTTTTGACTAAAATGTTCTGTATGATTATGATTTTTTGTGAATAAATAACTGCTTATATAAATGAATATAATACTTTATGGAAAGAAGAGACTTTCTCTACAAGTTTGATATATATATTCTTATAGCTGTTTTCTATGCATACTTTAATATGCACACATACATTTTTATTTGTAGAATTTAAAAATGAGATTTACTATCCAGGCTGTTTTGATGTGAGCCTTTTCATTTAATACATCATAAACATCTTTCTGCCTCATTTAAAATGCACTTCATTGTGTGGATATAATTTATTCAATCAGTCCCTTATTAATGAACATTTAGTATGACTATTTTTAGTTATTAAAAAATATCGGCCCTAGCTGGTTTGGCTCACTGGATGGAGCGTCGGCCTGTGGACTCAAGGGTCCCAGGTTCGATTCCGGTCAAGGGCATGTACCTTGGTTGCGGGCACATCCCCAGTGGGGGGTGTGCAGGAGGCAGCTGATCGATGCTTCTCTCTCATTGATGTTTCTAACTCTCTAACCCTTCCTCTCTGTAAAAAATCAATAAAATATATTTAAAAAAATAAATAAATAAAAAATATCCATTTATATATCACGTTATACCTTTGTATGATTGCTTCTTGATAGAAGTTTCTATGTGCATTAAAAATTTTGGTCAGCAATGCTAAGTTACCTTTAAAAAATTTCTCAATTTCAGTTCCTCAGGGCTGAAGATGAGTGCCTCCATTTCCTTACATTCACACTCGATCTGTTTCTTGTCAGGTTAAAAATTAGGGTCGTATTTGTGAGAAACCACACTTTCTTTTACATAATGGATATTTTTAAAACAAAAGACACGGAGCTTTTAAGCTTTAAAAAGAAATATATATTGATATCTAAAATGTATTGATATTAGAAGTTTCTCTTTTTTTTATACTATTCACTCATTTGAATGAATGAAGTGGAAGTGAGGCCACTGAGTTAGTACCTCTTAATTTCAGTTAAAATTGAATGTCTTTCAGCACTTAGTTTTGAGTTCAATAGTGCAAGTATAAATAAGTAAAAATGTGAATATATTAATATATGCAGTTATTTAAGTTATTAAAAACTACTTTTTCTTTAACTTTCAGTCTTTAATCATTTTCTTTATCACAGCCTGTGTGATTGGACTTGGTGTTTAAATGTAACATACTATGGCCATTAGTTTAATATGTCATCTTTTTAAAA